CTTTTATAAAGAATATCTCTTTGGATTTGAGACTTTAGTCTTTGCAACTTTACAGATCTTCTTTATGCACCGAGAGCTTGTAACACTCCAAAGAGAAAGGAAAACTTGAAATCGCATCATATGACCCCTTAAAAAGTTTTTTTAAATTCTTTAGCCTAAAGAAATTAATAATAATAACAACAGCAATTACATGTATTATAGTATGCAAAGCCATATAAATATATAAAACCTTAAGTAAATAATATAAATGCCTTTTTGAAAGAAATTCATATTTTATTTAGCAGGGATGCATTAAAGTGACAGTAAAGACCTTTACGTAATGTTCGGTTTAAAAAAAAAAAATTAATGTATCACAGTTTCCAGTTTGTTAGTTTTTTTTGTTTAAAAAAAAAAAAAAAGAGCAGCAACTGTTTTAATAACATTTTAATAACAGCAAAATTAATAATAATGAGAAACGTTTCTTAAGCAGCAAATCAACATATTAGAATGATTTCTGTTGGATCATGTGAAACTCAAGATTGGAGTTATGATGCTGAAAATTCAGCTTTGCATCACAGAAATAATTAATATTTTAAAATATATTCATATAGAAAACAGCTATTTTAAATTTTAAAATATTTTACAATAGTAGGCTTCTGTTTTACTGTATTTTTGATCAAATAAATCCAGCCTTGGTGAGCATATTTCATTCTAATTTTGTTGTAGTAATTTTGCTTTTATCCTTTTTATTAGATCTTACTTTTAAAAAATATTTCTATTTAGCTATAATTTTTTTTATTCAGTTTTCGTAATTTTAGTACTTCAACTTCAACTTATTTAATTTATTCGACAAGGCAAGTAAGTTTTTCATCTAATATTTATATTTTATTTCAATATTATTTTAGTTACCAAAATGATTTTGCTACTTTCAGTTTTAGTTTTGTAATGATGTATTTGTGAGTGTTGATGCGTACAGCTGAGGTGAGCCTGTTGTCTTTTCTCTGTATTTGTTGAGTGGGATATTGCTTTTGCTGTAGGGTTGATGTTGTTTAACACAAGTCATAAGTGCTACACACAGAATCACAATCCTCTCATTTTTATCACAAATTCCCGCTCCTAATTTATTACTCTGTCTGTGTCATCAGACATCTTATTGTCCCTGTTTGTCTACTAATGACCATCTGTTTCCCCCTCAACCAGCATCTCTCTATCTCTCCTGTCTCTCTCACATTCACACTGGTTGTTATTAATATCCATTGAACAGAGACTCCATCCCTGAAACCCTTAATGAACCAAATAGAGAGAAAGTGAAGATAACAAAGTGAAAAGGGTGAAAATGG